GTTATTATGTCCTCATCTGACTCGTTTAAAAAAAGAAGAAAGGATAATAATTAATTTTAGTAAAATTTTATGTATATGATCGAAAAAAATCGAATTTTTTTTTTAAAAAAGGTGAAGATAATCCAGATATGCAATGATTATAATATGTATAGCAATAATAACACGTTACACATCATATTTTACCTTCTTATTTGATTGATGATAAGCAACTTTTTTTTTTTTTAAAATATATAGATTACATTAAAAAAATTTTATTTCAAACATTATTCAAATACAACCGAATGACGGTAGTTAGTATAGTTAAAAATGAAAAGCGGAGAGAAAAAAAAAACCTGATTATAAACCTGAAAAAAATTCTATCATAAAAAGAAAAAAATGAGATTATTTTTTTTTGTACGAATGAAACACAAAAAATTGGAGAAAATTCAACAGGTATGAAGAGCACAGGGCACCCAAACATTAAAACAATTAAGACATTTAAAACTAAAACGTTTTAAAAGATTAAAAAGAGAGAATAATAATTAAAATAATAATAATAATTAATAATAATAATAATAATAATAATAATATAAAGGTGAAATAATATATATTATTTATATAATATATGATATATAAAATAAAATAATATATATTAAAAAAATTACATATTTCGAATGGAAATTAGATATTCAAGATTTTCCGATCTTCCTTTTTTTTTTTTAAACTATAGATAAAACGGATAAAGTGTTGTAAGTGTTGTTAAGTGGGGAGCTCATGAAAAAAAATCTTTATAGCTATATGATACGTAAATATTTTTTTTTGTAATGAAAATCTTTACTAAGATAGTAACAAGTTGATATACGACAAATTGCACGACCCAAATGGTAATACTTTTGGGGTCACAGTATATTATGAATATTATGGCATCAAATCTACAAATATGGATTAGTGTTGGTCCAGGACCCAATAAATGAAAAATAAAGTCAAGGAAAAAAAAACAATGTACGGTAATAAGAAAAAAAAGATGCTGGAGAAGGAACCGAAAGACAAAAAAGAAAAAAAAATGAATGTACAACTCATGCTGGTTACTAAACGGATAAAGATAAATAGTAAACAAAAAAAAAATAAACATAGCATACATAATAAAAAAAATATATATTATATATATATATATATATTAAAACCTCCAGATTTGGAATACTAAATTATGATTCGATTTAATTGATTAAAGTTCTTGAATTTCTTGAATATTTCCAAGTAGAGAAAGTCATCAAGAGTTGTGCTGATATGTGTATATGTATTTACAATACATATATACATACAGTATATATACATATACATATTATACATATTATACATATACATATTATACATATGTATTATACATATGTAAACAACAACAAATAACTTTACCAAAAGTTTAAACAGGTTAAAAAAATTTCAACCTTTTTTTATAAAAAAACACCCACGATCATTCTATTCAATATTATAACATTAACTAACATTGATGAAATTAAAAATAATTTCTTAACTTTGTTCGATTATTTACTATTATGAAGTATTTGTTTATGATTTGAATAAATTTAGTTTAACTCTATATACAATTAGTACAATTAGTACAATTAGTACAATTAGTACAATTAGTGAATTAAACACTTATTTCTTTTCCATAATCAGAGTTAAAAATAGGATGTACAATAATTAATTAGAAGTGGTACCGTTTATTCAAATTTTAATTAATTAAATAATTTATTAATATTATTGGTTGGTCAAATTTTATATATATATATATATGTGTGTGTGTATATTTATTTTATTTATTATTTTTTTCCTTTTTTTTTTTTTTTTTTTTTTTTTTTTTTTTTTTTTTTTTTTTTTTTT